ATTTTTTCCCCTTTTTACCCCACCCAATCCCATCTCCTCGCTTCGGCTCACGAATATCTTCTTTCGCTCCGCCCTCGCCGTTGGTTTCGTTCAAATTTACCTTCTCGTTGAACACATTAAGCCTAAATCGTAATAAAATCTTTTAAGATCGCGATCTACCGTATTTTCGTTTGTTTCCTATCCCCTCTTCCTTATTCCGATTCACGCGGAAAATAAAATCGTGCTCGATCGGTACTCTCACCACTCGTCGACTGTATTAACGCCACGAAAAGGTTCTCTTCTTTTTCGATCACGCCCCCCAAAAAAATCTTTCGTATCAAGAATAACGCGTCTCAAAGTTTCCCCGAAAATTTTTTATTTTTCTAATGGCCGATAATAATAATATATCTTGCTAATCGATCCTCCTCGAATACTTTCCTACGAACCATTTTATTCCCTCTTCTCCGTTCGTCGTTAAAGCTTCCGGTAGGGGAGTGGCGCGAGAACAACGGTCTTTCCGAAAAATTGTCTAGACAAGCGGATAATACGACTGACCGAACCTATGCGCTCCATTTTCCGAGCAAAAGCGAAAAGCGATGGTCTTTTCCTTTCACAGAAGGCCACTTCGAAAATTGTTTTTGTTTACTTTTTTAATACTTACAAAGAGTCACTCGAACCGGTGTGCCAACTTTAAAAAATCTGCTTCCTCTCTCTTTCTCTCTTTCTCAACATCTTCTTTCTCTCTCTTTCTCTCGCTCTCACTCTCTCTCTCTCTCTTTCTCTCCCCCTCTTTCTCTCCCTCTCTTTCTCACCTTCTCTTTCTCACCCTCTCTTTCTCTCCTTTTTTTGTTTCTAGAAAGTTCCGTTCTTTCTTTCACACTAGTGCCCCCCGTCCACCTTGTTCTTTTTCCAGCACCCTTTCTCTGCCTCACTCGCACTCGCATTCTTTCACGCGCTGTCCTTCCCGCTATCTGTCCCTGGGATAGGATGACTAGGCCCGAAACGAACTCGCTCGTGGACGTCGCACGATATCTCTGAACGACAGCCAGTGGCAAGAACGATCGAGGAGTAGACGCGAATCCGAATCAGAGAAGCAGACCCTTGGCTTCAGTTGGGTCCGAATCAGGCCGATCGCTGGGTCCGGCCGACGAAATGATCGATTCGACGGCTACTCGACGCTCATCGTTCTTCGATTGTCGAGGATCGAGGGTCCCATCGCGAAAAGTCGTACGCGCAATATGTAAAATTTTGAAAAATAGCACGATCTTTCCGAAACAAATTCATTCGGTCGCGCGGTCACGCCCCCATTCTCTCGGTGAATCTCAGGCAAGCAAGTGTCTCTCTCGTCGACTCGCGCACGGTTTAACGGATGCACGCCGTTCTCGCACACTCACACACCTATCGACATGTTCTCCAGTTCCAAATTCAATGAATTTCCGCGGCCGTGTGTCGCCGTTAATTTTCTCGTTTCCCTAATCTCTAAACCTTATAATTTTTATACTTGGCATACCCCAAATATGGCAGGAAGGCAATCATTACACTTAATAAGGTATAGCAATCGGTTTTTGTTGTTCTTTCTTTCGCGTCCTAAGGTGTTCGCTCGAGCCGAACGATGCTTCTCTTTCTTCTCTCGTTCCGTAAAGATTTAATCGTCCTCTCTCTCTCGTACGACAGACACTCGTAAGCAAATTTTGTACATCTCGGACCCGTCGGACTACTCGCGGTACCTCGAACACTAGCGCCGCTTCTCGCGTGTATTTCCTATGTTCGAAGCGGACTGAACCCAGCTGGCGTTCAGCCGGTTTTTCTCGCGCCCGGGGTCGCGACTTCCGACGGGCCGCGTCTCGATCAAAAACTGAAACATCTAGTCCGCGTCGAGGAATCGGTCCGATCTCGGCGGCGATCGAGTCGACGCGGATAGTGGCCCACGGCCAATTACTATACATTTGGCATTAAACGTACGGTTATCGTATATGCGTGGATATATAAATCTCGAGTTTAAGCGTGTGTCCCTGCGCCACGCGGTGCTCGCTCTTCTGCTTCGTGAATACAACATACTTTCCGGGAGCCGCTGGACTCGCGCGCGAGTCCACCGACGACCGTTTCCGGTCTGACAGCGTGATCTTTCCGATTTACCATCGATTGATCAGCTGGCTACGAAACTGGTTGCCTATGGGACAGCTAGAGTCGGCCGCGCGATCCCGATCGGTGCCCGAGGTCGCGAGGGAAGAAAATTTTCGGTCTGGTATCGAGGATCGGGCACCGATCGCGACCCCGCAGCCCTACTCCGTGTGTCGCTCGTTCACGGTTCCTCTTCTCCGTTTCTCTTCTCTGCATCATTTTGATTGTAAGCCTCGATCTCATTCGAGATCGTAATAGGTATACTTTCGCGTCGCCGCGAGAACGAATCGTCGCACAGTTCGCTCGCGACTAAGCGGGACATTGAAAGAATCGAACCGCACCGCGCACGATCGAACCGAATCCGATTCAAGCCGAGCCGATTCGATTCGATTCGATTCGATTCGCTGCGGCGCGACGCGAGACCGATAGCTCTGTCGTGATCGGATGAATCTGCCGACCGGCTCCTTTCTTCCGATTTAATCGAGTCGGATCGCGTGATCCGTGGCGTCGCGAGCATCCCTCCGATCGGAGATTCGGTTTCGCGGAAAGAGCCGGCCGCTGCTCGCGGATCTCGCCACGAGGCCCAACGGTGTAGCCTGCTGCTAAGATCCTAGTTGGGTAGGCGACCGATTATTCTCCGGCCGATCCAACCGGCAACGATTAGCTCTTTCGTATTCGGCTATCTCTGGCTTACTATTCGCAACGAGAGTCCGTCAGTGGCTCGAGCTTCACGGGGATTTTATCCTTGTCCTTGAGCCCGTGGGGGCTCTTGACGAGATCCGCGATATCCTCTTGGAAGAGATTCTCCGGCCGCGGGCTGACGAAGCTTCGCGTCGGCTTGTATGTCATTCCGCTGACACCGATTCCGACTTCCACGCTGCTTGGTATGTGTCCAGGGTCCATCAACGGTCCCAACGGACTCGCGAGGGGACTCTCCATCGGGCTCTCCGGCGGTCCACCGGATCCCGGGCTGGCTAAACCGAGATTCAACGGCGAGTTGCCATTGTTGCCGGGACCGGGAACGCCTCCGCCGCCGCTGCCGTTGTTGCTGCCGATCACGGCGCCGCTATTGTTGCTGTTGTGATGATGCTGGCTGGCCTGCATCGCTGCCTGGAGGTTCGACGAAAGACTCGTCGAGAGATTCGTCGAGAGGTTCGTCGAGAGATTCGTCGCCATCATGTCGTGTTGTTGCGAATGCGCCGCTGCCACCATGCTGCACATTTGGTGTCGCAAGCCTGTACGACAGTAAGATTCGATTAGAATCGTGGTGGACAAGTATTCTCGATTCGACCGCGTTTCGTCTCGCGATTCCTGGCGATCAGTTAACCGCGTTTATTCGTTAACGTATTCGATTCGCCAAGGATTCATCTTATCGTGTTCATTTACTTATTGTATTTATAGGTGATAGGATGTCGCGTGCCAACGAGAAATGGAGAAGAGACATTACCTTGGGCGACCGCGGCAACCGCGGCCGCGGCTGCAGCTCCGGGGCTGACCGCTCCTTCCGGTCCATTGCAGGCGGCGTAATTTGCCAAACTTGGGTACATCGAGGCCGGTTCCTCCTTGACGATGTGCGGGGAGTGACCGTCGCGGAAAACGACGGCCCGGATCACACCGCGGATGTGCTCGTCAGGCCAGACACCGAGGAGGATCCTTTGCGGTCTGCCTCTTCCTTTCGGGCGAAGATCTGAGCAGTCAAGAAGGAGGCGGGATTCGTATTTGAACGTCAACAGTTAACTTTGTCACGGTACCCGCAGTCGTCTACCGTTTCATCAAGTCTCGACAGCGTCGCGAAAGAAATGTGCCATAGACCCGCAAGCTCTAAGACCGCGGAAAGCTCTGCCGTTCGTATACTCTCGCCTAACTCGATTTATTAACGCTATTTATGATTGTTTACGCCGCGACGAGAACGTTCCATCTGCTCGATCCGCGGCTCGGTCGAAGAAAAAGGAGGAAATAAAAGTCGAGCGTCGGATGGAATTTATATTTGATGCTTTTAACGACTGCATAGGGAACTGTGTCAAAACTCGCTCAGATATAAATGATTTCCCATTTAATTACTAGAAAATTCTTTCGTCCGGGACATCGTACAGTTGACAGACTAGATCTAATAGAAATAACTGCCAGCTTAAATTGGCAACCGCAAATAGAGAAATCAATTGGAACTTCTAGAAACCTCAGTCGATCCATATCTAAGCACCGTCGTCTAATACACCGAAGAATTGTTAAGTTAAGAATCGCTATGAGCCTCGTTAATGTCCATCCGGGGTTAATTCATCGACCATTTATCTGGCGGATAAGTATCCTCGATCGGGAGCTCATTACGCGTCCGCTCTTCCCGTAACACTAGGTTTACGGACAGTTAGTGTACAGTTTATTCTATTGTTCCTAGAAAAATCGACGACCGATCGTTTCGATCTCGGAAATTGGAGATTCAAAAGTAGACAATTAGGCTACGTATTCGCGTCAATCAAAATCGACGTGTGAACATTTTCCAATGAACGTTTCTAAAGTTCTACACGCGTGAAATTTACGCGTCCCGTGAACCTAACGTCGAATCCATATTCGAGCAACAGTCGTGTCGCGACGGTTTAACGAAAACGGAGAACGATACTTACCGGCCCCGCCGTCGGCGCTGGGACCCAGCATGTTGTGCACCCGATTGGCGTAAAGAACGAACGTCGGGTACGGGATGTCGTATTTCCTGCAACAGAAACCCGTGACGCATTTGTGAGAAGGATTCGTTGACCCCCGCTTGCCGGCCTCGAGGAACTCGATCGATTCTCGTTAAGATTATCGGGCCCGTTCCGCGAAACGTTCCTCGATCGTGCGCTCTCGCGTTCCCACAAAGGGAAAGACCTTTTAACGGCGACGCGTTATTACGCGTGCGCGATACGTTGCGTTTTACGACCAGGCTGTAAAAAGTTCCCGGAGTCGGCCGTTCTCGGCTCGACGGTTGAAACGCCGACAATTCTTTCTTCCGCGTTTTGACCCATTTACGTCTGCCGGTGGTCACGGGTTGCCAGAGTCGGAACACAATCTTCCCGGCCGATCTCGCGGCAGATCGCTACCTAGACCATGAGCAGGCGCGACTGCGAATAGAGGATCGCGGGAAACGTTGAACACTCGAACCCGTACGAAGAAATGTGTGAAAAGAACGGTCTGTTCAAACGATTCGGAAGGCTCGAAGGATTCGAAAGATCGCGAACAAGCCTGATCGATCGTATGAACGACGGTTCGCCGTGCTCCTTTAAGCCAACAAAGACACGCGGACAGTTTCGTTGAAAATTCGACGTTTCGTTGGAGAGGCGGTCCGATGAACTTTCTTAGTTGAATTTAACTCGTCGCGCCGCAAATATCCATCTAATAATGAAATCCTCAGCGCGCGTTCCTTAAACGGTAGAAACGTCTGACGCGGACGTAATCCAGACGATTTGACTAGTTAAATAACGGCGCGACGGGGTCCTCTATTCCGCGGGCGTACAAAATTTAGCTCGGCCAAGTTTGAGCGACAGCGAAACGTCGACCGCGAAAGAAAACGAGGCGATCTCGTTCGCGGTTCGGCCGCGGGAACGGTATCACCGGATTACGCGTGCGTAGTCGCGGGGAAAGGTGGAAGTTGGATTACCTCGCGGCTTGGCTCAAGGATAATCCCTCCTTGAGGACGCTGAAGATCGCCTCCGCCATCGTTTCCGGCCTCCAGGACTTGAGCGGGCCGCGTTCCCGGAAACGTAGGTTGTGCACCAGGCTCTGATTGGTGTTCCAGCACTTCTGCCACATCGACTGCAGTTGATATTGGTAGCTGTCTGCTAGTTTACGCCCCCCACGGAAAAGAGAAAACAGAAAAAACACAGCGTTAGTCGGTGCCTCGGTTGCGATCGGGTGGGGAATAGACGCGAGTTCAAGATCGGTAAGCGTATTAAGATCGCGATCAACTTTTCGATCTGCCCGTTCGTGCCCGTAGCGCAGCGCGGATCGAGGCGCGCTCGCGCGGGCGGCTCGTTCGTTTCGAGCGCGGCGGATCGATCGAAAAGTTGGTCGCGTTGCGCGCGAGTCGCGAATGCGAATGCACCGCGGAAAAATCGTATCGTCACGGTGAATCACGTTCGTCAGAACACGATACCGGCGAATGACGTAAATAGCATAAACAACCAAACGTGGGTAAGTCGAGTCAAGGTGCGAGAATCACGTGGATAGGTTCCTCGGTAGCTGCTTCGCCGAAGCGTACCTGCGAACAAAGTGTTGAAAGGCAAATTGTGGCGGGGAACGGGTCGAGGAATAAAGATACACACACACATCGGCTTCTGTACGTTCACGTATCGATTGTATTGTCGTTAGCATACAATCGTCGCAAAGAAAAGAAAACGAGGAGGAAGACAGAGAAAAGAGAAACAGAGTGAAAGAGACAGAAATAAAGAAAACCTGCGTGAGTTCGTAACGGAACAAGCTCGGTCGTTAATAGAAAATATTTTGCTTAACGTTAAACCGGTAATCGCAGGCTCGCAGCCGTTTGCCTCCGCGCGCGATACGACTCGAACGCACACCGGCTGTGCGCCGCGGACGGCTGACCTCAATTCGCAACGATTATTTAATAGTTAACTTATTGGGTTTAATTGAGCATCCTCCAATTTGACGATTAATACAATTAATTGGAAAGACGCGCCCGCTAACTTGCGCGGACGCGAGTCCCGTCGCGCACGCGTGCGAGCGACGCGAACGATAGAAACCGCGGAGACGACTCGTTCGTCGGCCGTTTGGAATCGTTCCAGCAAGATAGACGACTACTATTCGGTTTTCTTATCAATCTTTCTATCGGTCCTCCGCGACGACCGCGGAGAGTCAAAGCGTAGAACGCTATTAACGCCTCCCGGACTATAAAAAACGGAGACTCTCCGGCAGTTTTTTGGTACGAAAAGGAATCATTTATCGCCTTACAGTTAACGAGGAATGTATAATAGGGATAAAGACGGAGTCCCAGCTTCTTATAGCTTCGAAGACGCTTGTCAGTCGTCGTTGCCTCGCGAAATACCCTGGAAAAGTGAAATGGCAGTTTCGCGATCGACACCGCCGCGCGCCGAAATTCTTCAGAGCCAGGCTTACCGTTATCTCGCGCGGGAGATCAATCAACGACGGACTATCGCGTCGGGATATTTGCGAACGCGGTGGCGGCGCGTCTTTCCCGCGACTCAAGACGCGATCGCGATACGTTAAAACGAAACGTAAACGAAACGATACGCCACGGAATGCGACGTTTTGTCTCGACGAGGTAGCGCTATAATTCTAGATATCACGGAACGGGAGTCTTAGCGGCAAGGATGTCGCGAGACGTGCGATCGATCCTAAAAGTATCCCGTCGAGCTTCGTCCCCGGATTCGACGCGGTTTCGAGAAATCGATTCGCGGTGCATATCCGAGATATGCGTCCGAAACACGCGCCAAAGCTGAAGCTCTCGCTCGTTCGCGCTGGAGTCACGACGAAAGGCTTTAGCAGCTCGAGGCCAAGCTCTTCGATTGCGAATCGCGTTAATCGAGTGCGCCCGTGAACGTTTCTACTCGGTGTACAACGGTTGCCGCGATCTTCCACTTTCTTCTCGCCGCTATTACCGGCCCTGTTTCGGCCAACTAAATGACAGGGTGGTAGTACTACCGCTCGCTGGCCTCGAGAAGCCTAATCCTTTGGCTCGACTATAATTACAACAGGAACGCTCGATCCGCGCGACGCTCTTCGAGTTTCGAACATCTTTGTAAAAAAATATGCTCTGTCTCTTTAATCTCTACGAACTGTACGGGCGAAGTCGGGACTCGGGATCGGAAACGTTCGCGGGAGGAGCGCGGCGATTTGTTCGGTCTCCAGGTGATTTCAGTTCCAGCGGTTCTATTGGCGAACGAGTATCTGTAACATAGTTCGGTGTCGTTCAACCATTCGTTGCGCAACATCCACCGATCACATTGAAACAATTCACTCAACGCGTGCTGCAAGGCCGCTAATTAATTCAAACAATTTTCTATGCATCGAACCGTTCGCGAAAGAGGCGCGCTCTCGCTCGCGCGGAAGAATCGACCGGTTTCGCACTGTCGCGTCGAGCGAACGTTCGATTCTCGCGAGAATCCGGCCGGCTCTTTGCGGCGTCGCCCTCTAAATTCGAGACGATTAGAAACGTCTCGATCGTCGACAAGTCCCGAATTCGCCGACGAATTCGCTCGACCGAATATTTTAAATGTACAAATCGTTATAAAAATAGCATCGCTTTCGAGACGACTCGACTGTTGTCGATGATAGTTTCTCACTTTACGCAGTCGATTCTAAGTATCCTAAACTCTAGTAATCTCGAACGATCGAATCGTGAGATTCGCGGAAATCACAATGGAAAAAGGCACGCGTGGAAGTGGAAAGTCAGCTTCGAACATCGCGGATCGTACGGTCACCGCGCGTTAATCGATAGATCCGTTCGCGAGCGACGAGAGTCGAGTCGGGGACTACGATCGGAGGATCGAATTTACGATAAATTCTATTCGAGTGGAAGACGTCGGGGAAAAGGCACTATATTATCGCTGGTACGATCGTTAGCCGCGACAACGCGGATAATATATTATTATTCCTATTACTATAAACGTAATCATTAGCGCTATTATTGCTATAATTTATCGTGTTCGCTATTGGTCCTGCTGCAGAGAGTGGTCGCCGATTTCAAACGAGACCTTCGGAACGGTTTCGTTCGGGGGTACGGGGAATGCGCGTGGAATGTGAAATATATGGTCGAAGAATTCTAACCGCGATCGCTGCAAGTTAATTGCCGCGCGCCGACGGATCACGAGAAAGTATCTGGAATGAAGGCACGGTCGTTGGTCGAAGGGGGACATTGGTGCTCTCGACGGAAGACGCGGACCGCGACGAGGTTCAAGGCGATGTGACGAGACCAGACGAAACGAAACGAAACGAAACACGCGGTTCACCGATCTCATTGATCGTTCTCGTTTTCGTCATTGAAATAAAGCGAGACTATCGAGTGCTTTTTGCAGAAAGCCCACCACCAACGGAAACCCGAGAGACCGTTGAACACGAAGCCCGGTTCGCGCTTCCGTCTGAGTTTCTCCACGAAGTTCAGGATCGCGTTCAGCGACTTTTTCGTGCGACGGTTGTACGGGCTGACGCTGATGTCGCAGCAGAACTCGAGCACGGCCGTCTCCTCGCTCGAGTTCAGGCCCGCCTCTTCGAGGACCATCATTCGCTTCGTCTTCCCGAGGATGTTGTCGTAGAGGGTGCCTTTCGGTATCCCGTATTTGGTCGACGCCTGGGTGAATCGCATCTTCTGAGTGACCACGGCCTCGATCGCTTCCTGGAGATCGTGCCGCGTCCACGTGGGCGCCTTCAGCTTCAGCAGGGTCGTATAGTCAGCTAAAAAATAGTCAGGGATTTCGACTTTTTGTTTTAGGCGATGTCCTTGCTTCACCTAACCCAGATCCAACGATCTTCGAGGGCGGGATAAAACCGGCCTACGGCCGGTGTTACGAACATCCCCTTCTTACATCGGTATCCCGCCGACCGACCCCTACCCGTCACTCTTTCGTATATCCATTTAATTTCCCTTTTCGCATTCCTTTCGCATCTCGTCGACCTTTAATTTCTCTCGCTTGTATCCACGCGTCTACTCCGATGCGTGAAAGGAATCGGAGAAGTTGGACGCGTGCGGTCACGGATCGCGCGTGAAACGGTCGGAAAGAAAGGGGGCTGCTTGCGGTTTACCGGTGAGACGACGAAGCCGGTACAATCGATCGCTTCGACTCGACGATCGCGACGCGGTCCAACGTTCGGCGACTACGGTCCCCGAAATTCCGCTTTCAGAATGGACGGAGAAGCTAATCGCGCGGTGGAAACGTTGAAAAGCATCGAAACGCGTTCAATTTTAAGCGGTCGATCTATTTATCGTTTAACACGTTGATCGCCACGGTGCTCGATCACCGGAGCATCGAAATCACTTGAAAACAACTGCAGGAAGGAAACTGATGTATGAAAATATTTAGTTACGTAGGTAGGTAAATGACAGTGTTACTTCAGAGCTATGATAGCAAATCATTGCTAATTAATTCCACCAGCAGTTTGTTACGATACGATAAGTAGCGTTATGCGAAACGCTCTGAATTCTCGTGGCGGTCAACACGTTAAAGAGATTCACGAGGAACATCTGCCGATAATAAAATCTCGCTGGTTAGGCCTAAATGAATTCGTACGCGTCGAAGTCTGCGGTTCTTCTAGCGGTGTGAATCGGAAGGACGGTATCGACGGCGCCGCTAACGGCCGACCTCGCTCGGTTGTCTATCTAAATTGCTTTCTATATTAAAGCGATGCTCGTTCTTCGGCTTCGTTATCGCCACGGTAACACCCTTTCCTACTCGATCTTCTCGCGGCCTTCGCTCCTCCTCCGCCAGTTCCTCCGGATCCAGGTTCGCTTCGTTTTCTTCGTGATCCGTGTCCAGCGGCGCTGCTCCTCGCGTCGTCTCACCGTTTACTCGCCTCTTTAGCCACCCTGTTCCTTTCCTCCCGTTTCTTCGATCGCCTCCTGGTGGCTCGATCCATCAGTTACCGGGGATTAATCGGAAAGACGCGAGATCGGTCGACGTTCGGGAGTGAGGAGGGAAAATCACGAGCGGCCGTGGACGGTCGCGGGACACTCGGAATCGCGCGGATTCGTCTTGAACGAGCTCCTCTGGAGGAGAATTTCGGAGAAACGATCCGAATTCGAGATCGCGCCACGTTATTATCGTTCCCTGAAATGCGCTGCCGTGGCAGCTGTTGGTATAGAGCATTAGGTAAAGGAGGCTGAGGAACGTCGAACAACTTACCTGCTATACTCGACGTGGAGGCTCCGAGCCAAGCGTGGGATGACTCCAACAACTTGGCCTGTAACAAACAGAGAAAAACAGGTTTAGATAACGGATTCCGAAACATTCGCGGGGCGTTCGGCGCATTCAGTTCGCGCGAACGTTCGTCATTCGAAAGGGGAGTGCGAGAAAGGGTTGAATTCGAGACAGTCGCGGCAGGAAAGAGGGAGGTGCGGCGCGGCTCGGCCGGAAGATGCTCGACCGGGAGGGCGTACGGAGGTTTCCGGAGAACGGCGGCTCGCGTCTCTGTCGACAACTTTACTAATATGCGAGGTTTTCCGCGTCTCTAGAAAGGGGTTGCGAGACGCGCCGAAAGCGCAAGACACACGCAAAGTTGGCTCATTTGAAAAGTTTTCGTCCGCGGTCCGACGCGGTTCGCGATTTCCGCAATACGGAAGGTCCCAGCCTATTCCGAGACTTCTCATATATACCGAATCGTTTTCAGGAGCCGGCACTCGCCGGCTGACTTTTCAAATTAATTTTTAAGGGCCGAACGGCCCCCGGCCACTCTCGTTTGATCCACGCGCGCCTCGATCCTCTATCAGACTCCGAAACCCCTTCCATTTTTTGTTTTCCCCGTGATTTCGCCGCATCCACGCCACACGCTTCAAAGTTTCAAGCCCGGCCGACCGGCCATCTTCCCGCGCACCCCTCCGGCCACCCCCTTCGCCACCGCGCCGCCTCGCGCGTTTACGAGTGTATAGATTTCGCGCGACAATAGAAACATGGCGTCGGCATAAGTGGCAATAATGCTGCGCGAGATCTGTAATCGGCAAGAGAATAGGCATAACGTATAGGCGAGGGCCCGGTCTTATACGGCGGGCTGTTGCGGCCGCGCTGAATAGGCCGCGAGAAAAATGAATTGCGGAACAAAGGCCGGGGCCAACAGAATAGATCCTATTCTACGAAGAGTTCGAATTCGTCGTCCGATGCGGCGCTGCGAAAGAATGCGTCTAGATGGGGCATTCAAGTCAATAATACTTATAATAGTAATTGAAGGTGCGGCCGTCGCGATGCTCCGCGGAACCTTGAATAAGAAGATAAGGTCCGCGATTGTCCTACGTTCCATCGAGATGACGACGCTTCATTTATTCATATGGCGGTCACGCGCGTGAGACAAGACGTTAGAAGAGAGTCAGATTGGGTGGTGCTGCCAGTGGAAAACTATACGTATGCCGTGAACGTAACTCGTCGTAAGTGGCGGGGGCTGGAGAACAGAGCGAAAGAAAAGGAGACGCAGCGTGTAACGACAGCTTTTATAGAAGCGGCGCGCGGTGACTGCGGTTACCTTGAAAATCGACTAGACGGCAAGTGATCGGTCCGTTCCCGTATTACGCGGGCATAAATTATTTAGACATCTTATCGTATCGGAGTGGTTCCGCCGGTACGAAGGAAACTTGCATGCGCGGCACGGGAAAACCGCAGGACGAGAGCGAGCGGCTTGCATCGGTGCGCCGAGACGCGCACGACAGGGAAATCGAGTTTGATGTCGCCGTTGCCGGTTGGAGTTCATCGTGCGCACACACGCCGCATCCTGTCATGCGTGCATTTTTCATCGTCTCGTGTCTCCGTCCCGGTGTCTCTCCGTCTGTCCGTCCGATTGTCGCGAGTTGCGACTCGGAGAATGCATGTCGCAGTGCACGCGACCCAACTCTTCCGACTCTTTCGGCTGTTTCGGCATTAACGAGACAATTGCTCTTCGTAATTCTTTCGGTATATTTCTCCCGTTCGCGCTGCTCGCGCGGCTCGCTACGATGCAAGGAGAAAGAATCGCTGCCGAGCGATCTCGCTGCCAATTAAACTTCCGAGAACGCCGCGCGTCGGCGGAAAGATCGCGGCGTTCGAGATTCGAAGTCGAAAGCCGGTTCGCCGTCGTCGTTCCCCCGTAACGGCGGGATAGACGAAATATCGCGGCTGTTTAGAAGCAAACTTTCGATGTTTTACATTACAGGAGACACGGAAGTTTGATGGGAAAGCATTTTTCGAGAGAGTTCGGAACGTTAAACGTTACAAATGGTTTCGCGCCGGTAACAAATGGTCCCGCGAAACTTCGGCCGTGTCTGCCAGCTAAGTAGCGGTTTCCGAATCTTGTCGTTTTTCCGCGGCGCCGCGCCGGGCGAAAAACCCCGAGGAAAGTTCGCCCGGCGAAAGTTCGAGCTCGACGGTTCCGCGAGCGGAAACGCTCGGGAATGTCGCGAGGTAATCCTGGGAGGCGAGACACCCGCTATTTTTCACTGGTTCACTGTATTCTCCCGACGCGGAGGCGGCGTTCCCGCGATAACGGGACTGCCGCCGCCGCCGCCGCCGCGCGGAACCGCTGCGAGCGGCGAGCAACTGCGACAGACGGATGGTCGGAATTTGACGAGCCGGCGATAAACAAAAGTCGGAATAGATGCGAACCAACGACGGCTGGCCTAATTAAGAAGGGCTTCGAATTCACGGTTTCCCGGCCGTTCTCACGGAAAATCCCGTGAACCTTCTGCCGAGGAGAATTTACGAGGCAGTCGTCTATCGTTGCTAATTCCTGCAAATATTTGCCGGGCAAGGATATAGGCGTGGGCGAAACGAGTAGGCGTCGGAAGCGCGCGGGGGGGAGGGTAAACGAAAGGGAGAGAAACACTGAGCGAGAGAGGCGACGAGAGATAGAGGGAGAGGGAAGAGGAGGAGAGCGCCGCGCACGGATGTATGCACGGGGATTTGCGTGAACGCGACGGGACGAGGACGAGGACGAGGACGAGAACGAGGACGAGGACGGGGACAAGGACGAATGCTGCTAGACGAGCGGGCTCGTTCTCTCCTTCGCTGGTGCCGCAGACGCCCCACCGACGCCCCACCGACGCCGTCGACGTCGTCGAGGCTCCCGTCGACCGGCTGGAGTTTCACGCGGCAGAATGCACCGCGCCACGGCAAATTTCTAATCAGATTAGCGCGGATTAGCAAAGTTCGTTTGTTCTAATGAAATTCGTCTAAATTAACGTCGGAAGAGGGAGCGCCGTCGGAGGAGGAACACCAGGATCGAGAGCAGCGGGTGGGGCGAAGGGGAGCGCGAGGGCCGGAAGTGAATAGGAGAGCCGACGAAGAAGCTGGATGAGATCGTTCGAGCCGCCTACGCCTTTTCCCTTCGACTTGCCGAGGGAAAACCGAAAACCTTTGCTTCCGGCGTTTGCGACCCGTCGCGATCCTGTCTCTTCGAGACACGGTTCGAACGAAATTACCGATACGTACGAGAAGCATCCGGTCGCCTTGAGAACATACGGTAATCCGAAACGACTGTCCTGTCTGTTGGGAACACGGGAACATCGGTGGAAGAGCGCGCCCGATGGTACATACATGGTACAGGGTAAGAGGACAGAGGGGAATTCCGAGCACGTGGTCCGGTTAATCGTTGAAGAGTCGCGAAACGGGTCGCGCGGAAACAGGAAACGCGGGTCAGGAATCCGCGCGCACACGTGACACGGGACTCGGAGCTGTCGCGCGTTCGAGGACACGCGATCCTCCTTCTCCTCCTACCCCTCCTCGTCCCGCGCACGCACCCGCTGATATTTTATTCACCGATATCGCGCTCCAACTATTCCACCGATAGTCGACCAGTTGCCGCGCTTAACTTTCCCCCTTCGTCCTGTCGCTCGGAATTTCGCTCTGGCTCCCGCTCCTCCTGTCACCGGCCGCGCGCAAACGAATACGAACGACGTGTGTTTTATTCATCGGTACACAGGATGCGAGGAAAACATCGCGATCCGGCCGGCGTAGGATCGTGCACCCTATCAAATTTCGAGAAAATATGGGCATGGGAAGCGGCCGTTCGTTCCGCGCAAACCGCCTCGCGTCGGGTCCAATTGGGATCGGTGTTAAAGTTTGATCGTGCGATGGCCGGATCTTACAGTCGGGCGCTCCGTCGTCCGCTCGTGCCTAACGCGAACGAGTGGAGCCGATTGGAACACGACCGAGAGTGCGGGCGTGTGTCCGAACGGCGCGGCGGCCGGCCGACTGGAATTTCACCGCGGAAATTGAATTATTTACAATTTACAGAGGTAATCGGGCCGAGTACGTGGACGAGGGAGGGGAGGGGGCGCGGAGGCGGACCGTTGACGCATTGACTCGTCATTATCACTTAACGAATCGTCCGGTTTCGATTGGAACTACCACGGTTTTTAGCGAGCGGGGTTTATTTGTGTACCAGCCGCGGCTGTCGTCGTTCGACGAGCAACCGTTTCCCTCTCGCACCACCGTTTCGCCCGTTTTCACGAGTCTCTCGCGCTCTTTGCCGGTCACTGCTTTTTCGTCGTTCCGTTTTATTTCGAGCGGGACTCTACAGGTAGTCACGTACGGGGCACGCTCGATGGAAACGACCGTCCAGATAAATCCTCCTCTCGAATAGTCGCGTGGAAGCGACGAAATATGTTGGCTTCCAGCGAAACGCGGCCCGTTTCGTCCCGTCCCGTCCCGACCTATCCCGCCCCATCCCATTCCATCTCATCCCATCTCATCCCATCCCATCGTATGGCCATCCCGTCCCATCGCGCGCCGTGCGCTCGAATTTAACGCGAACTTTCTCCAAAGCGTTTAGTTTCGCGTATCCGATCTCGTTCGCGATTCGACTTACTCGACGCTCGACACCGATCGAACCGTCCGCTTTTATCGTATCGCTTTTAAATCGATTCCGATGCCGGTTCACGAGCGAATCGACGCGTTCCCGACTATGCTCGCGTGCCGCCCCGGCAACGGCGACGCGTCCCCGAACGTTGCCGAAATATCGAAGACGTTCCCGACGGTCGAGTGAAACGACACCGAGCGCATACACGATACACACGCATGTACACTCGCGTCGGATCGGCGCTCCTAATTCCCCCGGCAGCATCTTCCGGTATTTTCGACGCGTAACGACCGCGGAATTCTACCCGGTATAAACACGTTTTCCAGTTGTATATTATTCCAACGAAGTTGAGTGGCCTCCAGATCCAGCTGACCCGCGAATTCCGATTTCACGGAGGTGTTGGATTACCTGCTCGAAAACGTCGAA